AAGTGAGAAAGTAAAAACATTCAAATATTTGCGAAAAGAGATTCAACAAAGTGTTTCAGAAAAGTCCATATTTAAAAATAAGTATGCGGAAGATGTGCGTAAGGTAATACTAATCAGTTTGAGGATGAAAAGTTAAAAAAAAACATTCTATAATACGCTAGAGAAACGACAATGTTTATGTATAAGTGATTGCCAAGCACTGCAGTCTAAAATGCCACAATCATATTAACTTTACGTGTTCTAACTTTATTATAATTATGTGCAAATTAGAAACAACAGAGCTCTGGCAATTACAGAATGTTACATCAGAATTGTGATTCTGATTGCGAATGTACAAACTTGTATAATTTTCACTACTTATTCTCGTATATAACATAATTATTTTTTTATTATTTCAAATTGTAAGATTTATTTCAAACTGATGGAATACATTTCTTAAATGCTACAAATTTGTGAAGATTTTTCTGTAGGGACTAATGATCTCCTAATTAATTAACTACGTTTAATATCATTTTAACTTTAGATTCTCTATTTCACTGTGTCCTTCATGGATAAATAAAACATTTCTGAAACTGACTTCTTTAACCCATGGTTATACACATACACACATATTATATATATGGGGGGGGCTTATACTCGTGAAAACACGGCATTTAAAATCCACTGGAATTTCGCCAGGCGCGTTTTTGCCTCGGTTTGGGAGCACTGCGCGCCGCCCGTGAGCAGTCCCTGTGACAAAGGCCGGTCGTCTGCCGCGGAGCGCGCATACAAATGCAGCCCCGAGGCCCCAGCGCCCGCGGCACTCGACTCGCTCCTCGGCGCAGCTCCTCGGCCCAGGCGGCGCAGGCGGCGACGGAAGGGCGGAAGCCACAACGGGGGAAGGGACGCTTCAATAAATTTCGAGAAAACTGTTTATGTAATTCAATATTACTCCCCAGTCCGAAAAGACTATAGAAACAAAATTCATGACATCGAATTTCTTGTCGGTGAAAAGAACAGAGGAGAATGGACTGCTGAAAGAAGAGCTGCGGAGTGGAACAGGATGGAAGACTTCTGCCTGTCCGCGTGTATATATATATGTACACATTTGAATTGTTCATAAGAACCACGAAATTACATGGCAAATGAAATGTAGTTTAAAATAAAAGTTTTTCTCAAAATGTATACCGTTCTGGTTTTCACCCATTCATTTGATGTCACAGTAAAGCCTCTGACCGCGAGGTCTTAAGATCTGAGTCACCTATTCTGATAGGTTTACCGACTCTGGCAAGATGTCTAGGTCGAATTCAGTCGCAGTCTGCAGGAGAATTCTAGCGGCTGGCTGATTCTAGCGGCCGGAGAAGAATTCTAGCGGCCAGTAGTTATTCGTGGTTCCTCCGGTCAACACCAGGCGAATGCTGGAGCAGTACCCTAACCAACGGGCCACGGTCCGCACGCACCCTTTCCTTCCCATTCCTTGTCTTATCCTCGCCTCTTTCTTATACATACTTTACATGCACTGCACTACCGCACATGTCGAAAGACCATTTGAGAGCATAGAGCTTCATCCTGGTGGGGCGATGTCCCGCTGGTGGGAGATACCTGGTTGGGGAAAGCGAGCCGACGGGCAGGTGGGCGCGAGATCTCACCATACAGCAGAGCATGATCTCCGCAACCTCCCGCGATAAAAACACGCTCAACACTAACGTAACTAATGACCTTAGCGATTGGTGACGCAGAATCACTAATCAATCAACAGTCAATCGGCGCTACAAACCACATTCAAAGCGACGGGAGGGCATATCCCGATGAAAGTGCATTTACTTCGAGCACTTCATTTGTTTTGCTTGATTGGCAACCCGATCCTCATCATATTTAACGCCACTGAGCAACTGCTGTTATAAGCCCGGTAAGTATCAGAGTTGAAGTAGCGGCAAAGAAAAGGAAGATTAAAGATCTTTCAATATTTTTTGTACACAAGCTATTTCGTCTCTCAGGAATGTTAATTAAAAATATATTATATACGTGGGTTGGGGCACAAGTCATGGCGACTATTTTTTGTGAGATTACGCCCACGGGTGGAAAATGTGAAATATTCACACGAAAGAATAAGACATAAACCCAGCCCATGGGCATTTACAATTATGTTTCTGGTATTTAGTGAGGTATTTGAAATGACAGTACTGGTTTCATGTTCCAAAGCATTGTAGCATATAAGGGATTTCAACATTCCAAAAGCATTACATATCCATTCTAAAGGCCCGGGTAGGCAGACCCTCGATAACCGCACGGTCACAGGTCATCATGTGCGTCGCTGATCTCAGGACGATGCGCCTCGTCGCAGAAACGCTCCTGCGCACCTCGCGACCGAACGGAATGGAAGGCCATATTCCCAAGAGCTTCTACCGATTCCCTGTGACATTCTCGGGCATTTCTCGCAAAGGGAACGGTTGTCTAGGAGTTTGAGCGCTGCTCGAAACATGTTACATACATTTCGCACGGCGGTAACCGGACAAATGATTTCACGTTGTTCTCTGTGCTAATAGAGACCTCACAGAGCCATCTGTTGATGTGAACTCACTCTATTTACTTGTGACTACGCTTACAATATTGCAAATCTTTCATTCACCGAATATTAACCTACTATCGAAAAATAAATAACATTAGAATTAAAGACAATGAAAATATCTGAATTTTAATACGAGATTCATAGAATAACACATTAGCAAACAGAGAACTTGACAACATGTCGTTTTCGACTAACGTAGTGTGTTTTGTGGTAGAGCGGCACATCTACCAGTTTCCGCTAAAGAAATATAAATCCTAGAATGCTCGCTCATTTCGTTCCTTTACCTGGAAATTTACATAATGTGAAAGCACGTTTGACCCTTGCCATGGAGTAACCGGTTGCGTTTTTTTTTCTTATTTACCTCGTTTTGCCACTTCGATGGGCATAAATTCTCCTCAACGGAACACGGCTTACGTCTGCTGATAAAATAAACAGCTGAAGCGAATGATACAACATTATCTTCTAGGCGTGTAGACCTTTGAATTTATTTAAAAGCACACTGAAAAACTATTTAATTACCAGACGTGGGAATTTTTCGGCCCAAAAGAGTGATGATTTAGCCATTTTGGGCACTTAAAATAAGTTACAAAATAAGTGGGCTAATCATATAAAAAATTGGATATGAAAAGTGATGTCTCTGACATGTGAAAGTGATTACAAAACAATTAAATTAGGCACTTTTTATTATTCAGGAAAGTCAAGTATTTGAGAGTAACTACAAGCATATTATTGTCGAAAAAACAGCAAAAGCAGTATGTGACGTATGAAGGAGAAGATTATCTTTTCTTTTCATTTCTTTTCATTTTAAGATATTCTTTTCATTTCAGTCATTCTTTTTCGCTTTCCATTCTCAACGTGTCAAAAGCGCTGCACAGGGAATGGTTCCAATTGCCTAAAGAGAGCGTACAATATCCTCTTTACTTACTATAGTGTTACATGCAGAGCTCCTTATATGCGGTGTCTTTAGTGAGACCCTTCGGTGCCTATTCGATCATGGAATATTCGCCTTTCGAAATAAATAATAAATAAAATAATTAGAGAAGACGGATTGAAAAGCGATAGTTGCGCAAATTTACTTATTTTAGGCAGTTTTAGGCAAATAATATTAAACTAGACATCAATCGCCCTTTTAGGACATTTTAAGCACTATATGGTGTTTTAAATATATCTATTTTTTCACGTTTCGTTAACATATTAAATTAATTTTATAACTTCTTAAAGTAAAACACAATAGCCATTTGTCCTAAAACCAAAGTCTACTAAATACGCATATTTCCATTATTTTTATGCTATTTTAAAACTAATTTGTCGGTGAAGCTAACCCTAAGTCATAAGATAATATAAAAGAGAGTGGAGAAGTGAAAGCAATGAGAAAAATGAAGTAACTTTGTCACGCCTCCATTTCAAAAGCGGATGGGTGAGTCTTGGTGACACGCATGTCACTCGAGCGTCTAATTTTCTCTTTTTTCTTTTGTTTTATTTGGAACTGTGGAAACGTAATCGTCAGCACTTTCAATCCACCACATTATAAAAGCAATTATTTCATTCGTTTTTGTAACTGTACGTAACTTGTTTAAGCTAAAGAGAGAGGAAGGGGAGAATGATTTGAATCATGAACCCTGGTTTGGCCTGAAAGCCTATTAGAAATAAACTGCATTTGTCTCATCCGATGATTCACGGGGAAATGCCGCGTGCGCTACTTGCGGGGCCCCAGGCGATCGCCCGAACTGCAGGGTCAGAGGGCGGCGCATTCGGACATCCACGGGGCCACTGGACGCCGCACGGCGCACGGCGTCGGCCGGGGGGGCGGGGCTCGGGGCGCGGCTACAGATCCCAACACACACACACACACACACACACACACACCGTCGGACGGACGAATGGGGCAAGGGAGGGGAGGCTAACTGCGATTTCCCCTCCATCCTCCCAGGACGAAGTTGTTCTAGGTCGAGGTCAGCAGACAAGGTTAGCGGCGGCTCGCGCTACGGTTGCACGGTTGCACAACCCCCGGATAATCGTAAAACACTCATCCTTGTTACAACTATACATTTTAGATTTAATTTAATTTTGAGATATTGTTACAATAAAAATACATTGACAATATCAATATCAACTTCAACACACTTACACGAGATACACTGACTATATCAATGTATGAAATCATTTTGATAGCTAACAGCGCCAAATGAGTGCCGTCTCTGGCACCTTGCTGCAAGCCAGGGAACGGACCGATGTCTGACGTCACGCACTTATGGGCTAAGCGAGCACTATATATACACTTCATCAAAGGGACTCTACACTAGTAGCACCAGATGTTTTAAATCGTAAATTATAATGGATAATTATAATACGTTAATATTAATAAATTAAGATACGTCGCAATATCTCAGACTTCGCTTCAAGCTAATTTACTTATTAAAAACCCGCACTGAAGAAAGTAGTCGACACTCACCTCTCTCTTCGTTTTATGGTAGCCTCTGAGGAAATGACGTGATCATTACAGAAAGTTCCATTATTTACCTGAAACATAAGAAAATAAATTAAAAAGAGAAACAAACATTATTAACCTTAAAATAGGTTTCGAAACAGAGTAGTTCTTACACGTAAAATTAGTTAACGCTTAAGAACAAAAGGGGATGCATGACATGACTTTCGAGCCCATAGCTCCGCGACCGTAAGTCCGTAGTTTTTATCTATATAGCTGTCTCCATGGAAGACTTTTGGATGTTGGGATGTGAATGGTGGGGACTGGGAGCAGGTGAACCGCCTAATCCCATTGCCAAATGTCTACTGTACTTTATGTGCAAGAAGGAAGTGTTACTCTTTTTCACTGTTTGGGACAAAACTGGGTTTCACTTCTGTACACCGGCAAACATTTTATTACTTCTGAAAAGGAACAAACAGACCTTACTCCTGTAGCAAGATATTACTCAAACTTTTCTGATTTGACCGAGAGTGATACACACCACCATCTATCCATTCAGTCACTTCATTCATTGCAGTTACCGGCAAGCGGATTTTATCTCTCAAATCTTCACCTTGATGTTTTGGACTGATATTAATTTTTACTCTTTACTACAAACATCCGAGGAAAAGTAAAAATATAAAAAAGAACATTACCAATTAACATGCCAATTTTTCAGAAGTGAAGTAGGATTGATTTTAAGATTGATTGATTAGTGATTCTGGGCGCGTTTACTGCACTACATGTTCTAGACAACCACATGTGCAGGGAGACAACCACATGTGCAGGGGTCGGGAGCTTATAGCTTGTCCCGGCTGGGGCGGTGCCCCACTGGTGGGAGATACCTGGTTGGAAAAACCCCGCTAGCCGACGGCAGGTCAGCGCCGGATGTCGCCTTCCAACGGAAGAAGATCACCGCCCCCTCCCGCAATAACATGCGCTACACTTAAGGGACTAATGACCTTAGCAGTTGACCCGTCCAGAATCACTGACAATCAAACAATCATGAGTGGAATAGTCAGTCATTTGTGGTCTGTTTCGAATCCTGATTACACCCAAAACGTCATATCCTATCCTTAGTATCCGAACGCCCCTAACGTAAAAGCATACGGATGCCCTTTGCAGCGCCGGCGCACGCTTCCATTGACGCTCCGCGCGGGGGCCGACGAGGTTCGCTTCGAGGAAGGCGTCCGCCACCGACCGGTTCCGACAGGCGGCAGCCCCACTTCGCCCGCTCCTGCCCTCTTATTAACATACTTGGAAGCCACCTTCAACTGTTCCTGCGCCAAATTGCGCACCTCTGACCAGCGCCGGAGCCACACAATGCTGCGGTCGCGCTGTGAGAGTTCGTCAGCCAAAAATTGTAGTTTTTGAGGACACACGGGTTGAATTGTTAAGCCGATTAAGCGAAATTTCCCAACGCTTTTTTGGCGTTAAGGAGACAACAGAATTTGGTCGCGTTACTAAAATAAAATACATGAACTTAACTTGTAGTTTCAGTACTTTACTCAATTTCGCCAAAAATTGAATGCTGAAGGTAGACCTCTCCAAACACACACACGCGCGCGCCGAAAAAATTAAAAATGTGAAAGATATCTCACGAAACTATATGAGTCAACAATTAATTATTTCAAAAATTAACAAAAATTACGTTTAAGCTACAAAGAGTTTTGGGAAATATATTTTAAATAATAGTTTTAAGTTAAAGTGTTTTGTGATCAAATATTATAATTTCCACGGTAAGATTAAATCATAAAAAAAATGTTGGGTTTAGTTAGTGCTTAACAATGTCGTTTGTACTACATGAACTAATGATTATGAAATTCAGTAGAACCTATTTTAATGTTAGCGTCATCACATATACGTTATGACTATTATTAACTATTTAACTTACAAAATTAATTGAACATTTTGTGAAAAACAAGACTACTATATCGCGACTTTAAAATTGAGATGATTGTCTCGAGTTCTAATTTATTTTCAATATTTTACTGATTGGTTCCCATCAGTGCCATCATCGGGACCCTTGACTTGTGAGGCCCCGGGCGATCGCGTCTGCTCACGCCTAGCGCCGCCACTGCCTCCGACCACTTCTGCGTTGCATGAGAAACATGTCGCTTAAGAAAACAAGCAACACAACATCTCCACCGTTTTCAATTTTCATGTCAAAACACTAGAAAATTATTATTATTACCTTATTAGTATTCCATTAGGTACAACACAGCCTGTCTCAAAATAAAGGTTACAAACAGAAGACATGTAAGAGAGCCAAGATAATGTTTGCCAATGAATATGTGGTGGGAAATTTCATGTCACGAAGTTACACAGGTGTCGTTTTTACACAGGCGTCGAAGTTACACAGGTTCTCTGATTTGTAGGTAGGTATCCCACCAATATATTTTTTGGGTTTGGGTATATAGGTTTTGCCGATGCATAAAAATCTCTTTGAAGGCATCAGAAAAAACAACGCCACGCATGTTATTATTGCGGGGGATCTCGTTGATTTTCCTCCATTGGATGGTGAGATCCGGCGCCAACCTAGGTCGGGGATTTTCGACCCACGCCGAGGAACGTAACCTTGCGGGGATTTCCTTCCGCCAGGTGTCTCCCACTAGCGGAGCACCGCCCCAGCCGGGACAAGCTCTAACCTCTCGACCGGTCTCCCGGCATGTGCGGTAGTGTAGTGCTTGAGTGTGTGTGTAAGTAAGGGGTGAGGATAGGACAAGGAAGAGGAAGGAAAGGTCGAGCTCGGTCCGTGGCCCGTTTGTTAGGGTACTCTCCGACATTCGCTTGGAGTTGATCAGAGAAAATACGGGTAACTACCCATCGGAGCAGCTTAAGTTCTCCTCCACACAGCGACTGAATTCGACCTAGCTGACAAGCTAGCGTCGAAAATATTACCACCATCGAGATTCGAACCGTTGGACTTCTCGCTCAGAGGCACGCTAGTGACATCGGTTGAGTTGATACTCAGAGCCTCCTAAGCCGGTACAACGATGCCTACCAATTAAGAGGTGATGTCACATATGTAACATCGTCAAATGCAATTTCCCACCAAATGTTCGTTGGCGATTAATCTTCGGTGTGCGTGTCCTAGAAGAGTGTAACATACGGCCACCTGTATAACACCCGGATTATCGAAATTGCTGTAGGTATAATAAGTTTCTAGTTGTCGTAGTTAACTATGTCGCTTAACCGTTATTAAAATCTCATTTCCTTGGCTTTCGAGACGATCGCCTCCAGCTATAACGAACGGAAAGAGGCACTGAATGAAGTTATTCTTTGATGAAAATCGAACGATGATTGAGGTGAAGAGCTCTACCGTGTTTAGTTTTCCGGGTTCAAAACTCTTTCTAGTCCCTTCAATGAGCAATCATCCCGGTGTCGTCTTTTATCGTTTTTATTTTTAAGCCTCGATTTAGTGTGGTGTTTATTTTCTAGAAACCTATTTTTATTTACTTCTTTTGTTAAAATTTCAGCGTAGCTTCTCAAATGTAATTTAGAAATATAAGTTAAGCTCGTTCTATACAACTGTCAAGGGCCAGAAAATCCAGGAACCAAGGAAGAAACAAAAAAGTACATAGAAACATTTGAAATACATACGAACATCCATACATTCAAAAGGCGCTAATTTCTAGTTCATCTTCGTCTCGCCACTTTGTACCTAGGCACTAATTCTTGGAGGACGGTGATCTCTACATTTTGCCAGTTGACCGGGAGCGATGATTTTTAAAACGAGCGAAAGTGTCATATGAGATCCAATCAATGTCTGGTCCATGTGACGAGATTGGAATTGAAGAAAAAGAAAAACGACGCTTGTTGCAAAGATATTGTGTCCGCATCAGGCTGGCATTGGTCGGAGGAATCGCGAATCGAGATGCCGAATTTTCTTACGATCTAGCACTCCAACTTGTAAGGTCAGCACACCTGCATACAAAAATATTAAAGCTTTTATAGAAGTACTAGTATATTGGTCACTTGCGACACTACAGTCGGCGAAGTATTCTCATGTTCGCGTATGTTTTTCGTAAATAGTCAAAGTGTGTGAAACCCATTGTTATTATTTTAATTTATTTCCAATAGTGTAATTGAACAATAGAGATTCATACACAAAGAAAATTGAACGCATATCACACTCCCGATAAAGAGATTTTCAAATTCGTGCGTGGTAACATATTTTTTTGTATACCAGCATTATAAACCACCTTTTCTGTTGCATTATAAACCTTTTTTGTTGCGATAAATCGTTCATAATCAGCCATTTTACGGCACAAAAGATGACGTATTATATTTAATGGCACGAATGATTACGTCATCACACATTCAGCCAATCGCAGCGAGAGAATCGTGGGGTGGCAGCAGTGAACGGAACAGCCGACCACCATTTACTCGCACAGATGTCAAATACCCGAGATGTCGCAACAAATTAGTTTCGCAAAATTAATTTGATTCTCTTGTTAACTTATAATGCTGTTATACAAAAAAAATAGCGTATGCAACTTGTATATAGCGTTGCTTTATTGCATTCGTACGAATATGAAAACTCGCTCCTAACGTCGCTCGTTTTCAAAACATGTTCTCATGCAATAAAGCTGAACATTAGAAACAAACTCCCTTAACTATTATTAAATTAGTTTCTTTCTCTGAAAAGGGTGGATTTTTTTAAAAACCTTTAACCGCAAGATTCCTTAGAATTACCAAATTTGCATCAGTCTCATAAATGGTGTTTGGCTTCACAAAAAGGAAAAAGTATCTTAAGTACTTGCTAAAAGTTTGAGTAATGTAAAGTAAAATCCCCTGTCGCTCGTCTTGAACTGTTTACTCTTAGCACTGACTGTCCAGCTTTCGCGTTTATAGTGTTTGTCCGTTTCGTTTTTACAAGTTCTCGTGCAGAGTTGTTGAGTCTTTATTGTTTGCGAATAATTTTGGACTCGGGGCAGTGTCCCCACTGCCGTGTAATAAACCAACACGAGGCGCAGCGACGGCGCTCGGGAAAGTCGAGGAGACGACGAGCGGGCGGCAGTGTCCGGTACTGTGGCTGAGGCGGAGTGGGTGG